CGATGCTATAAAGTTGAACAGTCTTTGTGATTACAGTGATTACAGTTGGTCACACTGTTCACAGATGAATGCAAAATCTGCATCTGAGAACATCCATGAGATCCTAAGTCTGCTCTAAAAATCAATTTTTTTATCATGAAAACCAAAACAGGTTTGCTTTTTGAGAATGACATAATTGTCTCTTGATGTTGTGGTTTGCATACTGTAAAAGTAAACATCCGGGATTTTTAAAGTTCCTATTCTGTTAGGACCAAGTTTTGTTTTAAAAATAACAGTCCTTTTTCCTGTGTAAAAACTTCTTAACCATTAGCAAGATAGACAGGAAAAGTTATTTTTGCATCAGAATCAACAAACCATTCTTGGTTGTTGAAATAATATGCACTTGTTCCACTATCAATTAGAACTTAGTTTTTATATTTATCTCCAGCAATTTGAAATAATTGTTGTTTAATCAAACTGATATCAACATGACTGGAAGATTTCTGTTTAGGATTAAAAGCTGTTTTCTTAAAATTGCTTTTACTTTTAGTATTTGGTCCCTAATTTTGCAGCTTTTGCAGATCAGCTCTAGGTTTTGACTTGTTAACATTGCTTCTGTTTGATTTGGGAGAAAAGGAAGTCTTTTTCAAATCCTCTGCAGAAAATTCTCTGTCTATTGTTTTTGCATTATAGTTGTCTTCCATCAAGTTTTGCCTATTTTGAAATTCAAAAAACTTGAGTAATAGCAACTTGTAAAAAACATCTCCTTTAACTTGTAAAGCATTGAATATTGGAGAGTAATATTTTGGAAGACTTGCCAAAAACAGTTCAAGTTTTTGCATGTTCGGGAAAGGATTCTCCAGCTGCTGTAATTGCAGACAAAGTTGTCATAAAGCTATTAACATGTTAATTTAAAAATTGAGGATGATGCAACTTTGTGTTAATAAGTTTGATCATGAGAGATGTTTGAATAGAAGTACTTGGAGAATTAAATACTTTCTGTAGTTTATCCCATATTTGTTTTGCATCAGTTAAACCTTGAATAAGACAAGCAGTGCTGGGATCTACAGACAAACAAATATGAGCCACTACTTTCTCTGCATTTTCATCAAACTGTTGTTGATGTATTCCTGCTTCGGTGGGTCTCTGCCCATTTATTGCTTTAAATAGACTCATTGTAGTCAGATACATTTGCATTTTCCATGACCACATTTTATAATTTCCTCCAGTTAAGATTTCAGTAATCACTGTAGGATTAGGATTAGTTGAAGCCATTCTCTTTTGTTTGAGGAGAGAAAAAAATTCTTTCTTAAAGTCAGTATCTTCAGGAGAAGCAGTCTAAATATAAAATAATTTGAACCCTTCTGGGACATCACTGTGTCTAAACTGGAACCCCTTCTGGGGCTAGACTGAGACCCCTTCTGTGCCCAAAAATGTGGGGTGCAATAGTTTCCCAGGGTGTTAAGCCTTTTAGGGTAAACTAAAATATGCAGGTATGAAAGTTAAACTTGTTAGAGTTCAGCTTTCATCAGCAGAACAACAAAAGTGTGGGGTCAGACTATTATTTTAAATATGCTTTCCTAAAGAATAAAGACTAACTCAAAAAAATACAATCATGTAGCTTGTGGGTTTTTAAAAAATAATGGCTTTAATAAATATTTACATAGAAGAATTAAAACCTAATCTAACTGGAGATGATATATCAGGAAGAGCCTGTAACCATAACCTACTGACTGTAGTTACTGGCAGTTTACTGACAGTCTAGCTAGAATCTTCAGAGAGTCAGATAAACAACCCACCAAGAATTAGTGACAGGAGAGAGGGAATTCCTTGTCTAATATAAGGAGGAAAAGAAAAATGCAACACATTAATTTCCAACAATTCAATTTTGCCTTTTTAACATGTGATTCCTGGAGTCCTTCTCCTCCCCTTGCCTGGAGACCTCCAGCTCTGTGAGAAAAGGAAAACAACAGCGCTGTAAAAGTATCTAGACTGACATCTCTCTGCTATGTGGGGTTTGCTTATTATGACTCCAATTGCAAAGACCCCAGCATAAAAGTATCTTCCAAAATCATCTGTTTCAGAGTTTTCCAAAATTGGAGAGGCCTTAATATGTTTGTTTCTGGCAACCTTTATGTTTTGGGCATATGACTTTGCTTAGAACTGAAATGTTCACAATAAAAGGGCCGCTTTACTGTACACTCTTATCAAGACATTACTTTAAAAAATAATAAAACTCAGAATGTCCTTCCTGGGGTTTTTGGAGGGTTGTTTGGTTTTTGGTTTTGGTTTGGTAAATAATGCAAGTTACTTTTACAGCTCTAAAGGTATTTTCAGTTTGAAGACCTCTGCACATTGAGGAATAATGCAAACTTTGGAGCTTTACACACATATTCTTGAATCTATAAGATCCAGACTACCATCTTCTAACTAATACCTACTGAGAATTATGGGGAAGTGCTATGAGGATGTAAACAGGTTTTTGTTTTTGTTTTTTAAGAAGGAGCCAACTACTTTCCAGAGGCATTTTGGGAAACAGAAATCCTGTTGCTGTACAGATGGCCCCTAAGAGGCGACTCCATGCTGCCCCTGGGAGCACAAGATTGAGGCCATGGCCCTGCTCCAAAAAGAGCTGACAAATGCCGCTCCTTTTAGGAGCAGCAAAAAGCCACCCTTGCTGTTGTGGTGGCAGCTCTTCTTTGCTCCTTTGGAGCATCATGTCTAAACGCTGTGCCAAGAGAGCACCCTGATGCCACCCACCGTCTGTTTGGGCAGGTGGCATGAGGATGACATGGGGGCAGAGTTGGTGTGGCCAGCATATGATTGCCATGCCCTGACTCCACCTCCAGGCCAGCCCTTTTGGCTGGTCTGTACAGGCCCTGAGTTTCTTTATAAGATGAGTTTAGCCCTGATTACTTTAATGGAGTATACTTCTGAGTAGACATGTATAGGATTGCACTATAAGACTGTGACACTTAAGTCTTTTTTTACATTACTCAGTTATAGCACTTTGATTCTACTGTAAGTGCCATGGTTCCATCCTCTAAAAACCTGGGATTTGTTGCTTGAGGTACAAAGTATATATATTCTGGGGCATGACTTCTTTCACAGAAACTTCTGTCCCATCTTGTGTCCTAATAGAAATGTTTCTCTGTTCTAAGTCACCCCCACCCAAAGCTGTTTTCTCCCCACAAAATAATAAACTGATATATTATTACACACATCTGCACACATAATTTTAGTCCAGCTCTGATGTAGACAATACATTTAGGTTCTGGCTGAAGCTGAAAATGTCAAGAGAGGCAAGCTCAGAAGAGCATTATGTCCACTGTCTGAGAGCTGAATCCCATGGAGGTTGGAAACAGCAATCTAGGACAGCTGTGAGTATGCTTAGTATTAATATCAAATATAATGGTAATTCAAAACAGAATCTTTTGGGTACAGATCTGAGCTGTGGAAGCCAAGTTATGAAATGATATTAGCATCTGGATTTTAGAAGCAGCTAAGGAGAAGCCTGCCAGCATTTGCCATATGTCGCATCTGTAGAGAATATTTAAATACGTAACACAATGAGTTAATAAAGGGAATTGCAAGATAAATACTTCTCTCTGTGCTAGTGGCATGGCAAATTATCAAAACATTCAAGTCCAAATTGAAACTCTAAAGTTGTGAAAGCTGGTGTAAGATGGCAGAAGTCTCTTTTTGTTGTGCTGTTTATCTGCTTTTCAGATGTCAGCATACTTAAATGAATCATGAAAAACATTTATGATAATGTCATCTTGTCATCAAGGAGAAAAATAAAGTGGAGTTGCCCAAGTTCTCCTAGTTCATTGCTTAAAGAAGGTCCACTCTAGGGACCTTACCACACGGGGGTCTAAAGTGCTCGCATCCCCATGTG